ACTGTCGCTTCATTGCACACGATGGCGGTGCTTCAGGCGTACCCAGCTGATCTGCTGAAAGACCTGGATAAAGGGCAGGGCCTTTCCCCTGACGAGGAAGCTGAGCTGCACTGCACCAGGGTACTTGCTCTCCGTGCTACTAAGCAGTCTGCCTCTGCTATGGGCAGATCTATGGTGGCCATGGAAGTAACGGAGAGACATCTGTGGGTGAACCTGGCAGATATCGGGAAGAAAGAGAAGGGCTTTCTCCTCGATGCTCCGGTTTCGCCTTCCGAACTTTTTAGTACCTCCGTCGAGACGGTGGCCGAGAAGTTTAGGGAGGCGAAGGCGTGCACAGCGGCCTTCAAAACCTTCATTCCACAAAGGTCCAAGTCTGAGCACGAACAATGGAGGGGTCCTGGGTCGTCTCGGTCTGAGGATCAGAGACGGACACAGAAGGCTAGTGTCGTGACTCGTGCCCCTCCCTGCCTGCGGGTGGGGCTAGGAGGAAGCGCGAGTCAAAGGGAGGTAGGCAAGACCTGAGGGAGGTGATCCAGACAAGGTGTTCTCAATGCTCTCGTCCGGACCAGAGTAAGACCTAAACATCTACTCACCTCCTTCGGGGGTTTTAACATCTGCCCTCATCTTCCCCTTCCTAAATTCCCCTATAACCACCATCAATTCCACCTGACCAAGGTTAGGTAGGAACCTCCTGCGCCTGCACTGCAGTCTCTTATGCTGGACCTATGATGTTTTGGTTGGTTCTGTGTCTTACATAGAAACTACCTTACTGATGGTCCGGACTCGAGGCTTCTTCAGGCTTCGCCTCTTGAACGGAGCTCAAGCGCGGGTTCGGTGGGTTTAACTTCTGCCCTCATCATCCCCTTCCTAAATTCCCCTATAACCACCATCAATTCCACCTGACCAAGGTTAGGTAGGAACCTCCTGCGCCTGCACTGCAGTCTCTTATGCTGGACCTATGATGTTTTGGTTGGTTCTGTGTCTTACATAGTAACCACCTTACTGATGGTCCGGACTCGAGGCTTCTTCGGGCTTCGCTTCTTGAACAGAGCTCATGCGTGGGAACCATGGTGGGTGAGTACGATCCATTTTCAATAAATGTAATCGCTGGTGGTAGTGTGAATCCTTCTGCTAGCCTTCTTTGCAGTGTTTCTGGGACCTGTGTTTCTGTCCTTGTCTAGGGTAGGTCCTCGGTGAGCACCCCCTCTGCTGGACTCAGAACCTTAGCTATCGACTTTTACGGTGATGACCTCACTCGTCGATACAGGATCCAGACTGGATGATATCCCTGTTTCCGGCTTCATGCTTCCTGGATCATGTGGCCAAGTCATTAGGCTTCTGTGGGAGCCTTCTTGGTCATCAGGTCCCCAGTACAGCACTGCAATCCCAGGACCTGCGGGTCCTTCCTTCTGGTGAGCTCTCCGGAGTGTATGCTTTGTGAGATGCCCCCCTCCTGGACGTCCGGGCTGGGCTTATGCCTCTTAGGCTGCCCTGACTGGGACGCCATATCCATGTTCGCCCCGAGGGGCTTCCTATGTCAGGATATCCTTTCTCGGAATGGAGCTCCTCTTGCTGAGGCGTCGAGCGGCTTTACTCCACTCTGCAGTCCGCTAGTTGCATCATACTGCCATCATGGTGAACCAGTCACCCCTCTGCAAAGTGGGTCTGAGTACACTGGGTTCCCTGAGGTATGAGAGTTTAGGGAGGCGAAGGCGTGCACAGCGGCCTTCAAAACCTTCATTCCACAAAGGTCCAAGTCTGAGCACGAACAATGGAGGGGTCCTGGGTCGTCTCGGTCTGAGGATCAGAGACGGACACAGAAGGCTAGTGTCGTGACTCGTGCCCCTCCCTGCCTGCGGGTGGGGCTAGGAGGAAGCGCGAGTCAAAGGGAGGTAGGCAAGACCTGAGGGAGGTGATCCAGACAAGGTGTTCTCAATGCTCTCGTCCGGACCAGAGTAAGACCTAAACATCTACTCACCTCCTTCGGTGGGTTTAACTTCTGCCCTCATCATCCCCTTCCTAAATTCCCCTATAACCACCATCAATTCCACCTGACCAAGGTTAGGTAGGAACCTCCTGCGCCTGCACTGCAGTCTCTTATGCTGGACCTATGATGTTTTGGTTGGTTCTGTGTCTTACATAGAAACTACCTTACTGATGGTCCGGACTCGAGGCTTCTTCAGGCTTCGCCTCTTGAACGGAGCTCAAGCGCGGGAACCATGGTGGGTGAGTACGATCCATTTTTAAATAAATGTATTGCTGGTGGTTGTGTGAATCCTTCTGCTAGCATTCTTTGCAGTGTTGCCGGGACCTGTGTGTTTCTGTCCTCGTCTAGGGTAGGTCCTCGGTGAGCACCCCCTCTGCTGGACTCAGAGCCTTGGCTATCGACTTTTACGGTGATGACCTCGGAGTCGGAGTTCTCCTCTCACACTGAAAGTTGAGTTCTCTGTTTCCCAGAGCACCTGGAACCAGCAACATCAGGCGAACTAGGCCCTTCCTTTGCCTCCCTGATACGCTGAGTTTTTTTGGCTAAGCTTGCAGTACGCTTACCCTTCAGGATTTCTACGAACATGCTGTAGGTCGAGCATCTGTCTCTGGGTGTTATGCTCCCTCAGCTAGGTAACTTACTGCTAGCCAGGCCAGCATTATGACAATGATGATGAGTTGGTGACTTCTCAGACGTATTGTTCTATGGGATGCACCATTTCCATCTATGTACGCTCTGTATATGCTATGGACTGCTCCCTCAGAGTGCCACGGTCACATAAGGTCTCTAGGTCTGTCTAGTAAACAGTCTCTAGGGCCCCTTAGTAATGGTATCTTTAAAATCCATGTTATGGTAAGTGCGCACATGAAGTCTCTGTGCACTTCCTAAAATCCACGCTGTGGTAAGTTCGCACATCAATCATTTTGCGTTCTTTCTAAAAATCCTGTATGGTAGGGGTTACTCGCTGCGGCTTCGTGCCCTTTCTTTGAGTCGGTCAGGCCCCGGATCCACCTTGGGCACCACTCTACCTATGTATCATCAGTGATACCTACTTTAACAGGGTGTTGCTACTAGGGGTCTGTTGTGTCACTGACAGCCGTCTAACCGTCCCTGGGGCAACTCCCTTAAAGCTTTGGTAGAGTTGGTACTTAGTGCTCGCCTGTGGTTTGGCATGCACTCCCCTCAGCATGGTGGCGTGGGTATACCATTCCCCATAACGACCCCTAGAGGACACAGTTCGAAGTTCCCTCAAAAGGGAACGTCTCAGGTTACGTATGTAACCATGGTTCCCTGAGAAGGGAACGAGACACTGCGTCCTCTAGTTTCCTTGCCATGCTTCGGATGTAAGCTTCAGAAGAAGAAACAGATGACGTGTTCTCCCGGCACCTCTTTATACTGTGGTCTCACTGGTAGTGACGTCATAGGCTGTCGCTGGCCAATGTGTTGTTGTTGTTTTGAATGTATGCTTCAGACACGGGTCACATTGAGGCGTTCCCCATAGCGACACCTAGAGGACGCAGTGTCTCGTGTCCTTCTCAGGGAACCATGGTTACATAAGTAACCTGAGACGTTTTTATGGCATATGGTCCAATGGTAAGCTCTGTTCCAAAACCTAGTGGACTGCCTTCCCCAAAATGCATATGCAAGTTGTATACAAGTTGAATAGTACAATACACCAGTGAGAAGAAATATTTATTTGGTTATTTATTACTTGAGGTTTTATTTTCCTGCTCTTTCTTTCTGTCTATCTATCTCGGCCCCCTATGGTTTTGCCTCATCAGCAGGCGTAGTCTACATGTGCAATCGGCTGATTTGTCAAGGGTAACTCCAGAAGATTCTGATAGGCACTTGGCAAATCACCTAGTTGATCTAAAATATCGACCGGCCACAAAAAGTCATTACACACAATAATGGTAGGCAGGACCTTGAGTATGTGACTTAATTAGGTTTCAAATGCCATCAAATGTGTTCTCAGAGGCACAAAAAGACCTGAGTTTAAAATGGTTGAAGATTCTTTGCAATTCTCTTGCTACTGACCTTAATATCTAAGTTGATTAGGGGTTTATTTGTAGTTCTACTGGAATAAGATGGTATTAATTTGCATGCTGTTGGTACACATTTCAGTTTTGGAGATTAGTCAGTATTAGTCATAAACAGATTTGTATGCTTTTGCGAAAATTTGTGCCGTAGTAATCATGTAAAGGGTGCACAAATATGACATTTTAACCAATAGCTGTATGACTTCTCTTAAAAATATTATTTTGAAAAAATACCTGCATACGCTTTGTGTTCCCAGCAGGAGAGCAGTGTGAGCGAGAAAAGCTGTTATGTGGGTGGTTGATAATTCTATGTGATCTCATTTGTATTTGTAGGCATGCGACTTTAGAGACAAATATCTGTGAATCATTTGAGGTTCATAATAGTGAATTGAAAGACTTCATATGTTGATTTTTTTTTTTAATTTATAATACATTATATTACTTAAATGTTTATAATTAAATATGTCCACATTTATTTAATTTATTTTAGTATATTAAATATTTTGACTTTTCTTTGTGATTTCTAAATACTGGTCAAAACCAATGTCAGTACAATGAGTGAAACACAATGCATGTAACAAACGTAATTTATATATTCCATGCTTATTCAGCATTGATGATTAAATTAATTCATGCAAAGAGTGCAAGTAACTTCACTTTTATTAGCTTGTCTTGATTTCATTTACAAATAAAAGTGTTATTCAAAAGGTAGGCTATTTCTCTGAAAATACTTTTGAACTTGTCAATATTTTGCTATGCTGCTGTGTATTTCAGCATTTCTTTCTTATTTTAGATTTATTATTAGATCATCTGTAGCTTTTTTGTTGTTGTTGTTGTATTCAAGCTCAAATATTGTCCATTCTGTTTATTATTGAAATGTGCAAATGTAATGCCATAATAGAAGGAAAGCATATCATGTGTCAAAAAGCATTTATGTATTAAAATCTGATAATGAATTTGACTTCTTGTCCCAGAAAACAAAGATCTCCACGTATGATAAGATGTGGGAGTTCATGAGCAGTCGAAGACATTCAGTCATGGTGAAGAGCATCGAGGAAGGAATTGAACGTGTACTCACCTCAGATTATGCTTTCCTTATGGAGTCCACCACCATCGAATTTGTCACTCAGCGCAACTGCAACCTCACACAGATCGGAGGCCTCATAGACTCCAAGGCCTACGGAGTTGGCACCCCAATGGGTAAGGCATATTTATCAGTCTTATTTGAATAATTTATCAGTTTACATTTACTTGACAACTGAATTGAATTTAAAACTGCATTATAGATTCATGTTTTAAGCTTGCACTGAATAAAATGGTAACATAAATTAACTTCATTCATTCAAGTCAAAAATTTGAATATTGCTGAATCAACCTAACAAACATGTTAATTTATAGCACCAAAACTGCTTTATATTGGTTAAATCAGGTAGAAATATCTCTTTAAAGTAACACTTGCAGTTTACCACTTTTTGCAAAGAATATAATTTGTCAATATCTCATGTCCTTCTTTTATTATTTGGTACATAGCCATTTAATTAGTGGAATTCTTAACTTTACATCAAAATCTTACTCTATATTTTTTCCTAAAATCTGCATTTGAAATATGATTGATATCTGGATGGTGTCACACTCAGGTGCACTCAAAACACTCACGAAGATGATGAAGGTAAAATTATCTTTAATATTCCACACAGAAGGTAAATCCACAAGAGGAAGGCTTAGCACATGTGAAAACATAGACAAGATCTGACAAACTAAGGCAGCACAGACAGGAACTTAAGTACACAGACAAATAAATATAATTAACTAGACACAGGTGAACAGAATTAACTAATCAGACAAGAGGGAAAACTAGGTAAAGGGAAACATGCGGAAAGACAACAAACTAAGAGTCCATGATAGTGACAGTACTCCCCCCTCCGGCCAGGCGCGACTTCGCGCCGTAACAAAAAGGAGGGATGGAGGGGACTTAGGAGGAGGACAAAGGGGCGGAGTTGGGATAGTAACAGGGGATGGCGAAGGGTAGGCAGGAAGGCAGGGCGGCAATGACGGAGGGAGGAGCCACGGAGGAATAAGGAGGAACCATGGTGGATCTGATGGAGGGAAGAGCCAGGATGGAGACAGGAGGAGCCAGGGCGGATCAGAGAGAGGGAGGAGCCAGGATGGAGACAGGAGGGACTTGGAGCAGGAGGAGCCAGGCGGGACCCAGACCACAGCCAACATGACGGCCCACGGTGGAGCCAATGGAGGGAGGAGCCATGGTGGAGGAATGGCTGACGACTCCAGGGGCCGACCGACAGTGGTGGAGCAGGTGGGAGAGGAGCCCGTGGCGGAGACAGAGAGACGATGAGTCAGGGCAACGGGGAGGATCCGGAGGGCCAAGGCGGAGCAGATGGCTCAGGCAACCGAGGAGTAGGCGGGGATCCGGAAGGCTGCGGTGGAGCCGGAGCGACAGAGGACCAAGGTGGAACTGGAGGGAGGGAGGAGCCCAACGGTGCCAGTGGGACGGATCGACAAGGCGCAGCCGGAGGAGTGGAGTCCTGAGGCGATGGCGGGTCGACGATTGAACAAGGCGGAGCCGGAGGGATGAGGGAGCCCGGCAGAGCTGGTGGACTGATGGGCCACGGTGGAGAGGAGGGAGCTAGGAGCCATGGTGGAGCTGCTGGGTCGACGGGCCGAGGCGGAGTCTGGGACTCGGAGGCTGGAGGCGGAGAAAAGGGATCTTCCAGCCACAACGCCGATGGAGACTGGCAGACCCGCGGCGAACCCACATGACCAATGGTGGGCTGAGGGTGAGCAGAGGGGCTGACAGGGGACAGCGGAGGTGTTGGTGAGGACTGATGAAGAGGTGGTGGGAGAGGGAGGCTGGGTGGGAGTTTTGAGCAGTCCGGGGGTTGAGGGATGGTGTGTCCTGCCCACACACACCAAATTGCCACTCCCAGCACTGGGAGCCCCAGAGATAGGGGAACGATCTCCTTGGTTGAGACAGGACAGGCAGACTGTTCAGGGCAGATAGACAGTTCAGACAGATCAGGGCAGACAAACATTTTGGGCACGACCTCCATGCTCGTGATGGGACAGACAGACAGTTCAGAGCAGATGAACAGTTCATAAACGGCCTCCATGGCCATAACAGGACAGGAAGAGATTTCAGATGATGATGGAAGACTGGATAGTTCTGAATAAAAGTCTATTAAATCCCCTGAGTCCAGCTGCAGCTCACAGCGGTGGCACAGTGGGCGGGGCTTTTCTCCGCGCCCTCGCTCTCCACTGTATAATCCTCTGTGGCAGGCATTGTTGCCGGCTCACGCACCTGGTCAGACGTTCCATGAGGCTCTGGCTCCGGGGCGATCCTCAGCTCTGTCGCTCCATTAGGCGATGGCTCGTCGGTCGAGGTGGGCGATGGCTCTCCGTCTGCGGTGGGCTCTGGCTGTTGCTCCACGCAGCGGGGTGGTATTTGGCTGGGCTCTGGGTTCGTAGTGGGGCTGGTGAGTTCCACATCAGCATGGCAGACGGTGAACTGGGATCCGTTTCTCACCAGTACCCACTACACAAAGGCGGCAAAATTCCCTCGAGGACAAGAAAGCAAACGAAGGGAAATGCACCGCTTAACTTCCTGTTTGGTCAGATCTTCTGTCACACTCAGGTGCACTCAAAACACTCACGAAGATGATGAAGGTAAAATTATCTTTAATAATCCACACAGAAGGTAAATCCACAAGAGGAAGGCTTAGCACACGTGAAAACATAGACAAGATCTGACAAACTAATGCCGAGTTCACACTGCACGATTTTCAAAGACGTCGCATCACTGTTGGTTTCACGCTGAACGACTATCTGGGGTAGCATTCAGTTGTTGCTGTGTTCACACTGCTCAATGGAACGACGACAGGAGGTTACACACTGCATGACTTTACAATAGGAAGAATCGCCGACAGCTCTGTCTGGTGCAGGGTTGCCAGATTTTCACTACAAAACCCGCCCAATTACTACTCAAAACTAGCCTGAAAATAGCCCAATTGCTTTCGGGGGGTAAAATACAAATTTTTTTGGCGGAGTTTTCCTGGTACAATTCACATTCCAGGGCCTAAATATCACGTTATCGGGGTTGCTTCAACCTGCTGACATAAAAAAACAACCGGCGGCAATCGCGGATTTGGCAACACTGGTCCACAAACTACGTTTCATATAACTCCTCCCCGAACTTCCCGCTGCCCTGTATCTTGGTCTCTCATTGGCTGTAGGTCATCGCCGATGTAGTTTTCAGTCAGAAATCATTTCACACAGCATGATTGTGAATCGCCGACAGCTCCAGATATTTAGCATGCCAAATATTTCACGGGCGTCGGCGACGCATCGGCGATTCCCTCAGATCGCGTCTTTGATAATTCACACTGCGTGATTGTCACTCGCGTGAATGAGCACCGATTTGCCTCCGATTTCGGGCATTTGTCGGCGATTTCGCAAAACCTGTTGGCGAGTTGAAAATCGGGCTAAAATCGTGCAGTGTGAACTCGGCATAAGGCAGCACAGACAGGAACTTAAGTTCACAGACCAATAAACATAATTAACTAGACACAGGTGAACAGAATGAACTAATCAGGCACGACGGAAAACTAGGTCAAGGGAAACATGAGGAAAGAAAACAAACTAAAAGTCCATGATAGTGACAGATGGTACCTAAAAAGCACGTATAGCCCCAAAACAATGATTGCTAATGCTACTGCGGCTTTTCTGTTTTCAATCAATATCTGAAAGAAAATTGCTGCTGCAGATATTGACTTCACTGCCCTAATCAATAATCAGTCATATATTTGCCAAGAGCTAAGCAAATCTGCATAATCAAATGAAAACAATTTCTATTGTGCCAAAATACATAGTCTCAGCAGCATTACCTTTCAAAAAAGATTTGTCGTACACCTCAACGAAAACATGAATCATTGAACAGTCTGACTGAAATGAGAAACACAGTCATTTATCAACACATCTCTGCCATGCAGAAGTGTATGCTGCGTCGACTCAAATCTTCATTTCATTTTGATTAATGACTGTCTGGCTCTGTCGGTGAAGGTGAAGCAGTTGAGGTTAGCATCTCTGAACGCCGCTTAGCGGCTCAGTGAATGTGCAGAAATGCGGACCCCGAGGCAAAGGTGCATGAAATAGACGAATGGATGAGATAAATAAATGAAAAGAAAAACTGTGAGGCGTTTCCCCCCCGTGCATAAGATTATCAGTCTCAGTAGCAGATTGTCTTAATCCGGTTATACATGCGGCTGCGGGCTGTGTCAGCAGTAGAAATGTAGAAGAAGAAAAACTGTCCTCAGTGCGACTTGAGTCAGAAAACATCCAGAATTGTGCACGATACTGCTGTAAGACATCTTAACACAATGACCCTAAAAACACTACCCTTGTCACAGATCTGTAGAAGAGGGAATACGGTTTACTATGATTTTCTTCACATTTCTTTGGACAAAATAAGCATGATACCATTTGAGAGAGAGAGAGAGAGAGAGAGAGTATTTTCATTTGCAGTGTTAGGCTTGTTACAAAAAAAAAAAAATATATATATATATATATATATATATATAACATTATTTTTTATTACTCATCACTGCTTTCAAATTGTTTATTACTTGGGTTATTACCCACCCAACAATGGCCCGTTCATGTCCAATTTCCAACTAGGAAACTCATGTTTACTATAATTCCGATAGCATGTGATTAATCTCATAAATTATATACATATTTTATGTATGTTGTCAATATTCATGCAAGATTCTAGAAAGACTTGATAAAAGTTGAGAATAAAGTATATCAAGATCAAAGGGATGTGGGTGGACAAGCCTTGTAATGCAAGTGTGTGTAATGCCACAATTTACATTTGACAATTTTCTGACTAGTATGAAAATGGATCTAGAGATGAGTGGATTGCTGGATTTCAAATCAGTAGGAGTGAGGCAACAAAAGTAACATTGTATAGATATGTTATGGATGGTAACTGTAATATTGCTGAAATCGTATTTGTAGTTACCCTACTAGTTCCTGGGGAAAGTAATATTATCACTAGTAATATGTTGCTTCCCCATGTTGCTTCCCCAACAGTGTGATCCATTGCATGCATAATTGCTTTGGAAGGACCAAAATAACCAAGAATGGAAAAGGCAACTTAATGTAAGGATCAAAAGCCTTTTGGCCAC